TGCTTAATTTGCAAGCTTATTGATGGTATGAGCATAGTCCTAACTCTTCTAACAAAAGAACAAGCTAAGGACTTAACTTAGCAAACGCATGATGTGCAAGCTTTTAACACGAAATACTATCTCAAATCTGCACCATCTTTGGTTGTTCAGTAGCAGGTTCAGAGCACCCACTTGCTGTTTTCTGTTTAGGAGACCAAGAGTAATATACTCCTTAAAATGTGATCCAGTTACGAGTTCAGAAAAAAAGAGATTACTGTATTAAAAAGTTTGAGTAATGCCATAAAGGATTAAAGCGAACTGAAATGAGCTTCAGACATCTCTCATGTAGCTTCAACTGAGTCTGTAACACTGAGCTCATCTCACAACATGGATGTGAAACTGTATAAACTACCACATTTCCTTCTTTGTTAATACCCTTTCTAGGAGGGAAGCAAGATGGACTCAGCAATACTTTACTGGGAATTTCATATGATAAATCACTAAGCGTTTGAAGTCAGAGTTTTACTTTCACATAAGGACTTTGTATCCTGGTACTTGCACAACTGAGATATCAATAAAAGAACTTGAAAAACTGAAGTGTGAAGAGTGCTAGACTCAGTTTCCAGCATGTGGGGTTTTTCTTTTTCAATAAAGCAATTGCTCTTATTTAACATTCCCCTTAGGCACAAATAAATCTACAGTTTCTGAAGTACTTGATTTATATGCAGAAATCCTGAAAAGGTATTTCAGACACTAATAAGATTTTAATTTGACGGTAACTGGCCTAGAAAACCCAAACCATTCAATTTAAATATATTTAATTTCACCTTTAATTATAATTGTGCATTCTCAGCAACAGCCAGGCCTCAAGAACAGATAAGAGTTTCTCACTATGAAATGAAGTACTGCCCCTCCAGACAAGGAAACATGATGGCACTGAGTAATCTCAATTGCTAGATCTTGGGAAGAGCTTACTCAACCAAACCTGAATGTTTCAGGAAAGGTGTGGGAAAGGTAAAAATTCTTCTTAAACTAGCAATTCACTACAAACTAACACGGTCTGCATATCAAACAGGCAAGACATTTTCTTTGGGCCAGTAATGAGGCCAGGAAGGGGTGGAACAGAAAGAAAAGAATGATCTAATTTGTGGGTTTTTTTTCCAGGGAGGGGGGGCAGGGAGCTGCAGAGAGGGCAGGGGAGCCCATGCTTCAAAAAAATGCTGTGAAGTGAACTGTTTGCAATGCAAAGGAGGAGTATACTTCCTTACTATTGGCTACAATGACAGGAATTAAAAAGAAGAGTATTTACCTTCGTTGTTTTCCTTGGTTTGGGTTCAGGTTTTGGTGGAGCAGGTTTCTATAAAATATTTTTAGTTGCACAACATGTTAGACATATCACCAGAAGGCAGACAGCCACCTCCACACCCCACTTCCCCCCACACCTTCCCTTGCTTCCTGCTCAATAGTATGCATCTAGAAAAAGTCTGAAAAACCTCTATGCACAAATGCACCTCATCTCTGTACACACCTGTTTGCATTACCTCATTCAGCAAGAAGGGAAAGCAATTTGGGGACCATTCTAAGAGTAAAACATGGAGATTAGTAGTAACTGTTAAATAAACCAGTCAGCTACGTTCTAATAGAGAAGAGGAACTAAACCCAAATACTAGCAGTGGCATCAAATGAAGTCCTTGAAAGACAACTCTTTCTCCTTCCCAGAGAAACAGCTGCATTTCCACAACTAATATCAGCCTGCAAAATGATACAAAGTCAATACTGCACCTAACAGACAGTGTTGCACTGAGGTGGGGAAATATATCTTTTGTCAGAACAACCTGAAACCTGAAAACCTGAAACCAAGAAAACACAGATAACTTTAGTGCTACAGTTCTTAAATACCCCTCAGTGAGAATAAAAATTGAATCAAGCAAAATGTAACAAACCTGTTTGGTCTGAGAAACCATATGTGCCTAGAAAAGAATATACCAAGAGGTGCTATACATACTTACAGCTGACAGCCTTGCTGATCGTCTTGTGGGCTACAGGGGGGAAAAAAAAAAGAAAACATTTTTATAGGCTTACAGCAAACAGTATCCAAAGCAACATAATACCAGTCATTTCATGGTGACAGCATAGAATATGCCTCTAACACAATATGTGCCTATTGCCAAACACAATTCACATCTCCCTCATCACCTTGGACACTCAAAATCTTAAAAGGATAAAGTGATGTGAGAATTAGAAATAAAAATTGTTCAGGAAGTCTAACATCTAAATCCCCATGCAATTAAATGCTTCAGACACACACACACACACCTCCTTTTACAAGTACTTCTGAGGCCCTTTCTGTTCTATGAAAAGTCCAGCAAGTGTGACTACCTATGCACAGGACTCCAAACCTTTCTCATACATACTTGGAATTATGTTTCTATAACCTAGCAGATGCTACTTGTAATAGTGGGTACAATACCATCTGATTAACAGCTGAATAAAGTTAACGTCCTGCCCTAGAGGATATCAGAGTGCTAAAATTTCCAAACATGAAACCAAGTCCTTCCACTTCCTCAGTTCCCCACACACTCAATCCGAGTCCAGGTGCACAAAGACAGCTGCAGGATGAGAGGGAGAAATTATTTCTTCTATTTAAACACAATTCTCAAAAGGGAAGAATAAATCCAGACATTCTGCTTCTCTCCAGCTTTCTTTATCACTTCAACACACTTTCCTTATTAAATTTTATTTCACTGTTCTTTGTCATAAATTTGTTACGGAAGTCTTAGAAACAGTCATTAGCTTGTTAGTTGGTTCACAATATTTTTGGATGAATTGAAACAGATTAACTCAGTTACACAGCATGGTTATTAGAGTGAGTTAAAGTTCGGTCTATGTCATAAAACTGGAACCACACTTGTAGCCAAAACAAAGGGATAACTCAAATGCAACAAATATCCAACTTAACAGAGCTTAAAAACTGAATCAAAAATATCTTCTTAATTACGTGTTAAGCATTTAAGTTGAGCTGAAAAAACATGGCTGCACACACCCTGCAACAGGAAAAAGCTGTTGTTAATAGCTGAAGAATGCAGTAATTTGTATTCCTTGGAGCCATTTAAGTATTCTTAGTGGAAAGCAGTAGCGAGTAGTTCAAATCTGCATTCAGCAAAATAGAAGTCTTGTCAAAAACCACCTAAAGATATTTTCAGCTATCAAATATTTATGCATCATGAACAATGAACAGGTAAACATCTCTTATCTTGGCAGTTTAGGATATCAACTGCCTGTTAAGCAGTCTAGCATTATTTTACAACAGGTCAAACAAACCATTTCAGTTGGTCAGGTCATCAAAGATCTCCTGGTTCAAGGTATTTTCTTTTACAAATCTGCTTTCTTAACCAATGATTTCTATCTCTCAGCATTTAGGAACTGAAATGTTTTGTTAGCATCTACTTTTTAAAGGATAATACATTGGTTTAGATAAATTATAATTCTCTCCCACATCTCCAAACAGTCCCTGTTCCATGGCTGGTTTCACAGCAGGTTTGTTTGCCGTAAGAAAGTCAGCATAAACCCCAAGTCCTTAAAAAATGCCTGACAGCTAAGTAATTTTAATTCTCATTAGAGTTTGTATGCGTTTTGTGTTATCTGATTATAAGGAGGGAACTAGAGCCAAGTCAGCAAAGGTCACATTTTAATGTGATTTGGGAACTTTTATCCCCCTCCAAACAGCTGTACTAACCCAGAAAGTAGCAGCTTGCCCAATGGTCTGTGTGACACTGGCCCACTAGCAAACATCTAGGAAATGAAGCAGACAGAACAGCACTTTGCACTTTCCTACTGCACCTGATTCTGACAAGCTGAAGTTGCCAACTTTCCAACCTGAATATTATACACATATCACGTGTTTCATAGTCCCCAGGGACAATTTTCTCCACAAATTTGTCTAATCATCTAGTACTCATTTACACTTTCGGTTTCCCTAGCATCCTGTGGCAATGAGTTCCATAACAGGATTATGGACAGTGTGGAAAAGAAAAAGTAAAGCCTTCCCCCTCTGCTGTCTTTCCTTTAAACTTCCTGCCTCTTACTTTGATTAGATTTCTCTTGGGTTTGGGTTTCACGAGTAGTAATTCCCTAACTGCCTTTCCCTGTGTTACTAACTATTTTATTACAACTCCATTATATAGAAAGTAAAAAATCCTAGAAAAAACATGTTATTTGGTTTTTTAGATTTGGTTGTTTGTCTCTTTTTTAAAAGCTGCTCTGCATCCTCTGCTTGTCCCACTGTACTTGATATCCTTTTAATTCTAGCACGGCCTCTATCAGAAGTTCACTTAGTCATCCACATCTGAGAGCACAACAAATTCATCTTGTTATACACTGATGCTTCACTCTGTCCTCTAGGATTTCTTCCTATGTTCTAAACAGAAAGTAACTAGAACTGCTGACATATTCTAGTAACTATTTACTGCAAATCACTATTTCACAATTTCTCCTCTGATTAACAGCTGATTTGGTAACCAACACTGAGCCTTCCCCTCCCTCCATGTATTAATTTGCATTTCTCCAGATTGATTTTCTCTTGATATTTTATCATCTAGTTATCCACAACACAACAGTCTTCTCAGTCTCTCTCACTTCTGACTACCCTGATAATTTCTGTAAACTTCAGCAAACTTTGTCATTTCTCTAGTACCTCTTCTCCTAGATCATTAACAAATATATTCATCAGCACAAGCCCAAACAAAAATTCTTCCAATACTCCACTGATGGATCTCCTCCATTATGAAAATTAACTACTTCTCCATTCTCTTTTAAGTTTATGGTAGTTCAGTTTCTTTAAGAACCTGCTTTAGGAATCTAATCAAAAAGTGTTCTTTACATGGAAGTAAACTACAGAGCATGCCAATAGTTTACTGGCTATTCTCCTGTTCAAATATGCTCAAAGATTTAAAGGCAGAGCAATTAATTGTAATTCATCTAAATATTCACCTATTCTTTTCAAGGTCCTGATTTAACTTTGTCTGCCACAAAATGTGAGAATCTAAGAAAATGAATCCTCATAATTCTCTACCTGTTATTTAAATTCACATTAAGGGCTGTGACAGACAAACTAGCAAATATTACTGCAGAGATCAAGGTACAACCAGCTGTCTTCTTGCTTTCTCTGACAGAAGTTACTGTGTCTTTAAAACAAATTCAGTCAAAGAAAACACACAAATGTGTCAGCTGCTCCAGTTTGGAGTCTGGTATCTTAATTCAAGACACCCTTCCATCAGTCACTTAAGCTAAGAATAGTTTTGAAGTAGATTGGCTGAGGTGTGTGCATTAACCCTCTTCCTCCAACCCCCCAGAGACAGAGCAAACAGTTCCAGGCAGTAACATCCTACACTACTGCTACAAGATCCACCAGAGCTTGTTTATCAAAGCCCTACATGTTTCTGAAATTTATTTTGTGTACTAGTAAGTTGTATAAATCCTCAGTACACCAAAACCAAATTATGTCAGGCTGGCTACAAATGCAGTTTATTGTCATTATTCCCACTGAAAAAACCTCACTAGAAGTGGCAGAGAAATGCATAATTTTCTGATATGCAAGAGTGCAGACCTCCAGTTAAACAGTTACATGCCAAAATAAATTAAATATATATATGTATATATATACACACAGATATACATATACTTGCCTCTTGTTTAGTTACTTTTGCTGCATCCTTGCCTTCAGCACCCTCTGGAGACTGAAAGAAAACATTAAGTCAGTGTTTTTACTACAGGCTTAAAAGCATGCAGGCAACAGCAAAACAGAGATTATGGTGGAGACTGTTTTTTCTATACATTGCAACAACTTAAAGAAGCCTGGCAAATCTGCATTAGTATTTACAAGCAGCACTGTACCAAAACCAGTCTAGATTTTCCAAGCAAGAATTCAGGGACTGAACTACAGATACATAGGTATGGTATCACACACCATCCCTCAGTGGGCCCTCTACCCAATTCACTAAAGCATCCACAGGATCCAGTGGGAGCTCCACCTAATCAGTTGTTGGTAGCACAACAGTATGAACTGGAAATCTGAGGTTTGCTCCATGAGGTTTCTTTGAAACCACTGAGAAATATAACAAATTTTTTACCAAACACAAACATAACTAGTTATGAGATGTGATGAGATGAATCAAAGAAGCACAGCATTACTGAAATGATTTCTTTACCTCACTCCTTTTGCATCTCAGCCTCGCTCAGCTGAAAGTTTTAAAAGTATCTTTCCCTGATACCTCACCCCCCTCCATCAGAGGGGCAAAAATGAGTAAAACACCAAAAGGAAAACTAGAGACAAACATGTTTCTTTACAAGAACAAAGTAGCACCTGAACATTGTAACATGGTCTTCCAGAGGTACTAGAGAAAGCTTAGTTAAATTACAGGAGGCTGGAGGGGGTAAAATCAAGTTTCTGTCTTTTGTTTACAACTCAAGATATATTATTCTTATTTTGCAAATGACTGAGTTTCCACCTAGGAGCAAGTGGCTCATGGAAAAAGAGTGAGCAGCAGCAGTTAAAGAAGAACTACAAGAATGGCACGTGTTTCAAAAAGGCATTTAACAGCAGCAGCAAAGGCAATTTGGTTGCTGTTTTGCTTTTCAGTCAGTAAAGAAGCAGGCTAGTCATTTTTTCCTGTGTCTTTCCATTTCAATCTTAACCCAAACTTCCTCCCAGATTCGGACATGGATATAGTCATGATTTGGAGCAGAGAAAAATTCTGTCTAGTTTGCAGCATTTGACCATTGCCTTCTCCTGGCATTGGGCTCTAATACAGTTAGAGAAAGACACCCCCCACCAGGGAATAAAACGTGGCTTTGTTCCTGTGCTCTCTCCCGACAGAAAGGAAGCATGCCACAAAAGCAGCTGGTTTATAAAAAGCCAAGGACTGATCATCTAAGTAGCTTGAAAACAGCAGGAAGTTAAGCAGCATCGTGCAGCGTAGAGCAACTCAGAATAGCAACAGTCAGACATCCAAAATGGAGCCTGAGTGTTCCCTGTGCTCCTGCAGCCTCCACAGTCACCTGCAGGATTGCTCCGGGTCTGCATTTCTCAAAGCCTTTCAGCTTGGTTGCTAAAGAGTTGCTACAGCCTGATGGTGTGATGTTGGGGCATCAAAAGCCATAAGGAAAACGAATTCAAGTAGCTGCATGATCACTGTGAGTAACAAAGTCTTGTCTCCTACAACTTCCCTCTTCAGCTCACCATACAGGACATGTTCTGGGTATAGTTTTTCTGTAGTCTGTGAATTCATAACATCTGTTTTTCCTATAGGAATTTTCTCAAGTCTAAGACTTTCTCCTTTCCCTGAGAGGGAACTCGAATAGCATCCTTCCTGTCCTGGGCATCCATGTCTATGGAAGTTCTCTCAGCAGTCAAGAGACTTTTAGATTTACAGGGGTAGGGACAGAAAGACAGAATTAATATTTTCCTTTGGAAACCAAGCTGAAAAACTTATCATAAACTGAAGCTGATTGACACCCCACAGTCAGGCCATTTCACTTTCAGGAACCACAGAACTTTGAGACAGAGCTAAATTACCCAAAGATGGCACTGCCACAGGTCCATAGCCTTGCAGTAATTGCCCAGGAATGAGCTCTGACACTGCAATACTGCACACTTAACATACAATGATTTATTCCATTCTCTTTAGCACTAATGAAAGAGAAGACTCCTATATTTCTGACAGGCAGGGCAGTCTGATTCTAGATGCCAACACTATTGCTTGACAACAGATTAAATAAACTGCTCATGAGACTAATGTCAGGGAAAACATTATATTAAAATACTCCTAACACAACCACAACCTCTGTATACTAACTACTATGATAAATTGCACAACATACTTCAATTAAGTTAGCTAATTAGCCCAGCATTCCCTCTCAAGTTAGAAGATACAATGGCAATTCTGAAGGCCACATAACTTTCTCCATGGAGGGACATGCACAGTAGTAATCTCGAAGGTGTGAATAAGCAGCAAGGGGTTCTAACACGCTCTCATTGCCATTTCAGACCTGCTCCCTCCTCCCTGCAATCACTACAAGTCCAGGCGTTTGGAGGCTGTGCTATCCTCCCTTGGCTCCCAGAATCCTTGGCAGAGCTGCACTGGGAGGCCATGTCATGAGTAAAGTTATTGATCCAGCTGAAAAATAGCCTGCTGCTTAAACAAATGTATAAATATCATAACATACACACAAATTATAAATACATAGTCTTCCCTGCTCCAGCAGAATCATTTTACTGCACAGCTGCACAAACAATTGAGCCAGTACAACAGACAAGAATGCAGTGGCACGGGGCAGCTGCAGTCAGCCTGGGACTCCATCTACTCTGTCTATCTATTTCAGCTGACAGACACACCAAAAAAATATGTATGTCAGATATGGCTACAGCACATTTGTTAAAAAAAGGAACAGAAACTTATTTTCCCCTCTATGAGTTCTGCTTAGACATTCCAAAGAGTCCCAGCTGGTATAGTTCTTCATGCTAGTTTTTGCAGTACTTTCTCCTCTCCCTAGGGAAGAGATTTATACACAAATGGATTTGGGCCAAGCACAGTTCCCAAAGAACTTGGCATGCCACAAGGAGAGACTGTCTGCACTACGATCTGGAATCACAGGACTTACGAAGATACCAACAAAACCTTAAAGTCCTTGCCCCTAACTCTTCCACAGGAACCCTTCCCCCAGCTTTTGTCCTGCTGACAAACTACCGAGGGTCCTCTGGTTTCAAAGCGACCAAACGTCCTAAGTCACCCATCCCCTTGGCACGTTTTCCCCATGACGTAATGCTGTGGCTCACATATTTCACATGACACCCCAGTCACATCAGAATGCACCCGGGATACTGTGCCTTACATCGTAAACCACTCAGGAGCAGGACTGTCCACACTGCAAGTTTTGTGCAGCAAAACCAAAGACCAATACAAGCACTGAATCACTTGACAAGGGCAGCACTCCAGCCTCAGTAATTCTTCAGCTCTACTCTATCATATGCCTGTGCTATACTCATGAAGTAGTCCCTACTGGCCTGCTGTGCCTGACACTGTATGGATGCCGACAGGAGACAAGACATAGCATAAACAAGAAAATAAGAACACAGACAACAGTGATTTTTTTCCACAGAGGTACACACAAGGAAAGAATCTAACCAGCTACCTCTAAATATGCTTCTGACATTTAAACTAACAGCAAGTTATAGGTTCAGATGACCACGCATTGTGTCACATCTCAATTAGCACTGCATATTGGCAATAAGATTGTAAACAAAGCTGTAGCTAAGCTTTGTAAGATCTTTCAGAGCTGCATAACTTTCAAGCCACAAGATTAACCTGCAAAGTTATCAGCAATCAGTTTTTTTATTTTTTTTAAAAAATTTGCTATTACCCCACTACTTTTTAAGAACAACTCAAAAATTATTTCGAGTGAGTTGGAAAAAAAACAAAGCAATATTAATAGATGATAAAGAAAACTAAAAGAAAAAGAAAAGTAATAATAACATTGAGTTTGTTTGTATAACAACTCTTGCATTTCACCAGCTGTGAAGTACACATAAGAAGCAGTGTCTCCACACACCAAGGCAATACTGTGGTATCTGCAATGCCAACATCTTACAGAACTGTTCAGCTGAAAACAGAAAAACTAGATAACTGTTTTAAGGAGGTAATTCAATACAACATACAGGTAAATTACCTTTTTTAACTGCTCTTAAGGCTGGGTTACCTGGTAGAGATGCACCACAAAAGAAAGATAAAGCTTCAATTTTTCTAATCAAAACCCTGAAATATAAGCAGGATGTAATGAGAGGACAGTGACCCAAAGTAGTGAAGTCACTGATGTCTGTGAGAGATTTGAAGACATACACACGTTTGAACTTGCAATGTTCAGCTTCTGGATAAATATTTTTTTTGTACTATAATGAATGGATTGTACTATTATAAGGGAATACATTAAAAAGCATTAAGAATGAGAGTACAAGTACGTGAGAAGTAACAGTCAGTATGAAAGCTTGGTATAAAATTAAATAGATTGTTCATTCTCTGAAGGATCTTATTACTAGACGAAACTCAACACCTTGGCTCTGATGGGACAGAAATTAGTCTTTTCATAGCCACAAAAAAACCCAACCAACCAACACCCCCCCCCCCCAAAAAAAAACCCTCGATGCAAATTTCCTCCTAACTACCACGATAAGAAGTTAGAAAGTGAAAAGCCTTAGCTGCCCTGGCACATGAGCATTCTCTGTAGTATTTCCTCCCTTCTTTGCACGCTGTTTGGTTCAGCTACATCTTGATACACTGCCTGCAATGGGATTTGCCTGTAGATTTCCTGGCTTGCTGTTCTAGCTGCAATTTCCATGATGTAATGCTTTGGTCAGTCCTCCAACAGTTTTTTTCACCAGCTGAAGTAAGGTAAAAGCTTGCAAAAAAACCACATAGCACGAAAAGAAGATGTATCAAGTCCTAAGCCTTTTTCAGGGTTTACTGCACTATTTTCCTAAAATTTTTCCACCCCTCGTTTCCTTTTAGGTAGAACTCTGCAGTAGACTAAATTTAATGCAATGAATTATTTCCCCATACGTGCTAGATCTCCTAATTATTTGTCTTCAGAGCAGCCCTGAATTTTGTGCTGGTTCATAAATGTAATTAAAATGCTGTTTATTTCTTGGTTTAGATTAATCAAGACTACATGTTGACTAATTTAA